AAATTGTCAATAGATGGAAAATGCATTGGGAGGGAAATTGCGTAGGATACGACAATTTTGGGGTAGAAGATGCATTTGAGGATAACTGGTGAAATCTAATACCTTAAATTTGTTTCTATTATTTTTTAAATGAAGTAATTTTTTTACCCTGTCTTTGTGCATTTGTTTATAACATGGAGAAGGAAGGGGGGTAGACCCATAGTTATTTTGTCCGTCCGTCTATCTATGTATTTTTCCGAACAAAATGCAGGTCGCCTAAATTATCCGATTGAAATGAAAGGGATATTTGTTTGGCCCAGAGACGAACCCTTTTGAAACTGGTGAAAATCGGTTAAAATTTATTAACAATGACCGGAATTTTGGCACATCAAACTGAAGTCGGTCTAGAAGCAAGTACATCAAATTTGGTGAAAATCGGTTCAGATATGGATATAGCTTCCATATACAGGGTGAGATAAAAAACTGCAACAAAGTCAAACGCCACAATTTTTATTTTTATACCCTCCACCATAGTATGGAGGGTATATTAAGTTTGTCATTCCGTTTGTAACACCTCGAAATATACATTTTAGACCCCACAAAGTATGTATATTCTTTATCAGCATAAAATTCTATGTCGATTTATCAATGTCCGTCCGTGTATCCGTCTGTCCGTCTGTGGAAATCACTCTAGCTTCCGAACGAAATGAAGTACGTTGATAAAATTTTACTCAAATGTGTACTATGTCTGCAGGACTTTTGGTATTGAAAATGGGCCATGTAGGTCCACGTCTTCATTTAGCCCCCAAATAACGGTACCTCCCGATATGCGGTATTTTGATGATTTTAGCGACATTTTTTACTGGAATTGTTTCAAAATTAATATTTAAAGTTCATAATAGATGCTACGGCCTACGACAGAAAATGGGCCACGTAGGTTCTCGTCTTCGTATAGCCCCCATGTAACGGTACCCCCGATATTCGGTATTTTGAACATTTTAGCGACATTATTTACCGGAATTGTTTCAGTTTTAGTATTTGAAGTTCGTAATGAATACTACATCCTAAGACAAAAAATGAATCATGTAGGTCCACGTCTTCGTATAGCCCCCATATAACGGTACCTCCCGATATTCGGTATTTTGATGATTTTAGCGGCATTATTTACCGGAATTGTTTCACATTTTGCATTTGAAGTTCATAATGGATGCTACAGCCTATCACAGAAAGTTGTCTGTGCAGGTCCACGCCTTCGTATAGCCCCCATATAACGGTACCCCCCAATCTTCGGTATTTTCATGATTGTAGCGACATTATTTACCGGAATTGTTTCAAATTTCGCATTTGAAGTTCGTGAAGTTCGATATTACAACCTATGACAGAAAATTGCCTGTGCATTATAAACATATTTTTTTTCAAGTTTCGCATTTGAATATGGTAATAGCTTGTGACAAAAGTTGCCTATGCAGGTCCATATCGTCGTATAGACTCTAATATACGGCTACATTAGGTATTTTCAAGATTTTAACAGATTTTTAAGGGATTTTATTTTATTTTTTTTTTTTGAAAATTGTTAAATTTGTACCAAATGGTGGAGGGTATTCAAAGTTCGGCCCGGCCGAACTTACAGCTTTTTTACTTGTTTTTTTTTTAAATTTTATTGAAAGAAAGCAAAAATATCGGAAATAGCATTAAATTTTAGAATAAGTTTAGATTTGTTCCGATTGGTCACCTTTGGCACGAATTATGACCTCTAAACGGCCAATGAAACCGTCACACGCTGCCCGAATGTTGCTCTGCGGTATTTTGACCCATTCCCGGCAAAGCGCTTGCTTGAGGTGATCGACACTTTGGTAGACCAACGGATTGGTATCCGTAGATTTTGGTGGCCATTGTGCACTGGAAATGAAGCGAGGAACCTCATTTTGTAATCATTCTTGGGTGACGCGTGCTGAGTCCTGTAGGAATGTTCAAGGTCTGCGGCCAAAATGTTTGCGTGATTTAATACACCCTGGCTTTAATACACCCTCCGGAATATTTTCGCGATAATATTCGACTTTTATTCTGATGCCACGGTCGATTAATACGATCGGATAGCGGCCACTGGGACACAATAGTTTAACGGATTGGTATCCGTAGATTTTGGCATTTATTCCGATGCAACGGTCGATTAATACGATCGGAGAGCGACCATCGGGACACAAAAGTCCAACGGATTGGTATCCGTAGATTTTGGTGGCCATTGTGCGTTGGAAATGAAGCGATGAACCTCATTTTGTAACCATCCTTGGGTGGCGCGTGCTGAGTGCGATGGTGCACGTGCTGAGTCCTGTTGGAATGTCCAAGGTCTGCGGCCAAAATGTTTGCGTGCGCAAGGCTTTAATAAACCGTCCCGTCTATTTTCGTGATAATATTCGGCATTTATTCTAATGCCACGGTGGATTAATACGAGTGAAGAGCGACCATCGGCTGTTATGGCGTCCCACACCATCACCATGGCCGGCTCTTGAGTTTTGGTGGCCAACCGAAAGTGCACCTTTTCAGCTGATCTCTTTGGCAAGTAAACACGATCATTTGCTTGTTTACAAACTGCTGGACAACGAATGTCTTCTCATCGGAGAAAATCATATTCGGCAGTTCACCACTGTCGGCCAAGCGAAGCAACTCTTTAGCTCTTTTGAGTCTATTTTCTTTCGGTTGCGTTGTAAGTTCTTGCGCTTTTTGGAATTTCAATGGCTCATTTTTCAATATTTGCCGAATGGAATATTGCTATATGTTCAGCTGCCGAGCCATTTTTCAGCCACTACGACGTGGTTTTCGATCAAGTCGCTTCTTTACTTTTCGAACCATTTCTTCTAATGTTGCTGTTTTTTCCGCCCACTTTCTTGACGTCGGGCTACGCACATTTAAATACTGGATTGCTCTAACAGAGTGCCACTTGTGGTTTTTCAGCCAAATATAAAGAAATCACACTATCACGCTTGAACTCCATCGCGGATAACTTAGTTTCTGGAAAATTCTCACCAAAATGCTTTTGTAGGCTTGTAAATAATATAATGAGCTGTCACTGGAATAATTTTAACAGCTGTCGGACGAGTGGCTTAGAAGTGACAGCAGTCACCCTGTATAGAGGTGAAATCCCGAAAAAAACATAATTGTTTGGAAAGTACTAAATGGTACTAATTTTGGATCACTGTTGGTATCTAGAATATAGTGGTGTACAAAATATGGATTGAGCTAAAATTCTGAAATTTGACATTGTGGTCTATGTTGATTTCTAGGGTTTTCATACGGAGGCGTTGAAATAGTTTTGGACAGTAAACTTCAAAATGAAAGTTTTTGAAGATTTTTTGGGTTACAGGACTATTATTTTTGTTTGTTATTAAAATATTGGAATAAAATGGAATACATTTTACTTAAAGCAGGACTTTTCTTCAATTTTATACCCTACAACACTATGTGTTGGAGGTATTATAAGTTTGATTGGGCCAGAATTTATGTAACACCACGAAATATTGGTTTCCCACATAGGAAAGTATATATGGATCATCCTAGCTCGCCGAGCTGAGTCGATCTAGCTATGTATGTCCGTCCGTCCGTCTGTCCATGTTAATTTGTAATCACTCTACAGGTCGCAATTATTGCCAGATCTTCCCAAAATTTAAAATGGAGGTGGGGCTAGGGTCGGAATAGAACCCTATTTCTTTTGGAGATGCTCGCATAATATTTAGGGGTTGAAATGGACCAAAAACTGAAAAAAATTCTGATTTTGCAGTTGCTCTACAGGTCGCAATTATAGACCAATCCAAGCAGAAGTTGGCATGGGGCTAGAGCTTAGGGCTGGGCAGAAGCATTCCAATTTTGATGGTTAGCGGGTAATATTTAGTGGTTGAAATAGACCATAACATTTGTGTTTAATAAAAGTCAAAGTTTCTATTAAACCGTGAATATTTTTAATCCCGGCGAAATCAGTGAAGGGGGATGTTAGCTGGAGCTTATATCTCAAGAATGGCTGGACCGATTTTTACAAATTTTGTCAATTCAGAATAAAAGTATAATTTCTAACAAAAGCGTAGAAAAATATGCCAATAAAGATGTTAATATAGATTTTGTAGTATTTGTGACATATTTTTATTTTTTCCTATTTTTTATCGCATGCGATCTTTTCAATTTGACTTATAATATTTTGTAATATTTTTTCACCCTACAACACAGGTCGTCCGATCCTCACGAAAATTTTCACAAGGGGGATCAGAAGGACTAGGCCTATTGTTTTCAAAGATGTTCGCAAATATATTAAGGGTTGAAATGGTCCAACAACGAAAAATTTTCCTGATTTTGCAGCCCTTATAAAGGTCACAAATAGAAACCAAAGGACACGAAATCTCACATAAAGTTACAGTTTAGGACAGCGGGTACAATGGACCACTACTTTTTTGTGAAAAAAATACCAGCTTTACTTAAGGGCGATATCCGAAATACACAAAAGGCGAACTTCTGGCTTTTTTATGCTGATTTCGTTGACGAATATAGGCAAATATCGTAGATAAGCAAATCATATAGATGAGACTAAATTTGGAGATACGGAGGGGCTTCTTGCCTTTGGAGCTGATCGAAAATATTTAGGGGTTCAAATTAATCAAAAATAAAAATGTTTTTCCGATCACACAATTGAAGCTAATCGACACGCCTGAGAAGAGAGTTAAGGACATGGAAGAATTCTAGCATTTTGGATGACCATTGGATTATATCTAGCTGTAAAATGGACTACAACAACTAACAGCCCGACGGAGTGCAGAAATATTGGGCAAATGTCCCTAGTCAAAATTCAAATTTCAAAAGCGAAATCTTCTAATATGGATTTGGACATAAGGGGGCTTCTAACATATTGTAGTGTTGTAGGGTATAACATAGTCGGCCCCGCACGACTATAGCCTTTGCTTACTTGTTTTTTTTTGGTTCATATCGAAATGGACATGATTAATTGCTTTGTGTGTGTTTTTTTTTTATTTTTGACTTACCTTCAATGTAACACCACCCAAATCATATTCACGATTATATAGATCCTCTACGGTGGCACGATATTTATCCGTATACGTTTTGAATAGAAATCGCTTTACAATGGAACTTTTGCCAACACCGGCACCGCCGAGTATAACCAGTCTTATGCGTTCCAAGTCGGACATGGTTGACTTTTGTTTATGAGTATAAGTTAGTAATTTTTGTAGACAGATATATTACTCCATTTATTTCAGTTAGCTGCTGTTCAAATGATGATAACAATTTCAAAGTTCAATTTCTTTTTGTGAGTTCAAAGTATTTTTTGTGTATCGAAAATCTGAAAATATGAAAAAGAAACGGTTACTTTTGAGATAACTAGGTCAAATCATGAGGACAGTAATATTAGGAGATCAGATTCTCTTTGAAAGTATATAAATATTTTTTTTATTGGTTTACGAAAAATTAGGAAGTTTTAAAAAAATTAATTTTAGGTAGAAAGGGAGAAACAAGCAGTGTTGCCGTTTGAATTTTTTTTTTCACCTCAAATTTCCCCAACAATTTAAGAGAATTTTATGTATACCCTAAATATACCCTATATTAAAATGGAGGTTTTTTTCTCTTGATCTTTGTCTATTTTTTAATTTGTTATAAAGGGTGATTTTTTTGAGGTTAGGATTTTCATGCAATAGTATTTGACAGATCACGTGGGATTTCAGACATGGTGTCAAAGAGAAAGATGCTCAGTATGCTTTGACATTTCATCATGAATAGACTTACTAACGAGCAACGCTTGCAAATCATTGAATTTTATTACCAAAATCAGTGTTCGGTTCGAAATGTGTTTCGCGCTTTACGTCCGATTTATGGTCTACATAACCGACCAAGTGAGCAAACAATTAATGCGATTGTGACCAAGTTTCGCACTCAGTTTACTTTATTGGACATTAAACCAACCACACGAATGCGTACAGTGCGTACAGAAGAGAATATTGCGTCTGTTTCTGAGAGTGTTGCTGAAGACCGTGAAATGTCGATTCGTCGCCGTTCGCAGCAATTGGGTTTGTGTTATTCGACCACATGGAAGATTTTACGCAAAGATCTTGGTGTAAAACCGTATAAAATACAGCTCGTGCAAGAACTGAAGCCGAACGATCTGCCACAACGTCGAATTTTCAGTGAATGGGCCCTAGAAAAGTTGGCAGAAAATCCGCTTTTTTATCGACAAATTTTGTTCAGCGATGAGGCTCATTTCTGGTTGAATGGCTACGTAAATAAGCAAAATTGCCGCATTTGGAGTGAAGAGCAACCAGAAGCCGTTCAAGAACTGCCCATGCATCCCGAAAAATGCACTGTTTGGTGTGGTTTGTACGCTGGTGGAATCATTGGACAGTATTTTTTCAAAGATGCTGTTGGACGCAGAGTTACGGTGAATGGCGATCGCTATCGTTCGATGCTAACAAACTTTTTGTTTGCCAAAAATGGAAGAACTGAACTTGGTTGACATGTGGTTTCAACAAGATGGCGCTACATGCCACACAGCTCGCGATTCTATGGCCATTTTGAGGGAAAACTTCGGAGAACAATTCATTTCAAGAAATGGACCGGTAAGTTGGCTACCAAGATCATGCGATTTGACGCCTTTAGACTATTTTTTGTGGGGCTACGTAAAGTGTAAAGTCTACAGAAATAAGCCAGGAACTATTCCAGTTTTGGAAGACAACATTTCCGAAGAAATTCGGGCTATTCCGGCCGAAATGCTCGAAAAAGTTGCCCAATATTGGACTTTCCGAATGGACCACCTAAGACGCAGCCGCGGTCAACATTTAAATGAAATTATCTTCAAAAAGTAAATGTCATGGACCAATCTAACGTTTCAAATAAAGAACCGATGAGATTTTGCAAATTTTATGCGTTTTTTTTTTTTAAAAAGTTATTAAGCTCTTAACAAATCACTCTTTAAAAATGAATGAAAATATCTAAACATTATTGATACAACCTTGTGCACTATGCTGAGTGATTCCGTTTGTTTTTGTAATTTGGGCGTATGAGCATTGCCTCGAAGGCAATTTTGGTAAGTATACGCTTCGATGTTCCACACATTTAGTTGCCATTTTTAGAGTTGGACCAATCTACTTTATAATTCGGTACACTAAATTTCAAACATTGTATTTTTCAAAATTTTTGAACAATTTTTTAAATATTTTTTTCATGCATTAATATTCATGAGATTTTCAAACAAAAAAAAAATGTCGTACCAAGATCCAACAACTTCTGTGTATGTTGTGAAAATAATTAGAGATTGAAATTGACTAAAAACAGAAAACATTTCTGCAGTTGCCCCAAAGGTCACAATTATAGACCAATCAAAGTGGAATTACAAAGACGTTCAAGGCATGGCAACCTAGCATAAGAAATAAGAAATAGTGGGTTTGAATACCGATCATCACAACAGGCGGCCTAAATACAGGATAAATTCAATAGATTGAAAAGGAAGGTCGCCGGACTGTGGGGTTTAATATTTTTTATACCCTTCATCATAGGGGTGTATTAAGTTTGTCATTCCGTTAGTATATATTTTTATATATATTCTTGATCAGCATAAAATTCTATGTCGATGTCCGTCTATCCGCCTGTGAAAATCACTCTAGCTTCCGAATTGTATTGTATATTGATAAAAAATTTACTCAAATGTAAAATATGTCTGCAGGTCTTTTGGTAATGAAAATAGTCCATGAAGGTCCACGTTTTGGTATAACGCCCATATAATGGCACCTCACTATTTTCGGTATTTTGGTGATTTAACATTATTCACCGGAATTGTTTCAAATTTGGTATTTGAAGTTCGTGTTGGATACTGCAGCCTATGACAAAAAATTGTCTATACAGGTTCACGTTTTTGCTTAGACCCCATATAACGGTACCTCACGATATTCGGTACTTTGTCGAATTTAACGACACTGTTCACCGGAATTGTTTCAAATTTTGCATTTGAAGTTCGTAATGGACACTACAGCATAAAACAGAAAATGGCCGATGCAGGTCCACGTCTTCGTATAGCCCCCATATAATGGTACCTCCCGATATTCGGTTCTTTGTCGATTTTAGCGGCACTATTCACCGGAATTGTTTCAAATTTAGTGTTTGAAGTTCTTAATGGATATTACAGCCTTAGACAGAAAATTGTCTGTGCAGGTCCACATCTTCATATAGCCCCCATATAACGGTATCTCCCGATATTCGATATTTTGATGATTTTAGGGATTTTATTCACCGGAATTGTTTTAAATTTGGTATATGAAGTTCGAAATGGATACTGCAGCCTAAGACAGAAATTCATCTTTGCAGGTCCGCGTCTTCGTATAACCCCCATATAACGGTACCTTCCGATATTCGGTATTTTGATCTTATCGACATTATAACCGATTTTTTGTTAAGTTTCGCATTTGAATATTGTAATGGCTTATGACAAATGTTACCTACGCAGGTTCATGTCGTCGTATAGACCCTAACATAATAGCTACATTCGGTATTTTTAAGATCTTAACAGAATTTTTGATGGATTTTATTGTTTTTTAGAATTGCCAAATTTGTTCCAAATGGTGGAGGGTATTAAAAGTTCGGCCCGGCCGAACTTACAGCTTTTTTACTTGTTAGAATTTCAGTGGCTTTACCCCGAGAACATTTTTCAATATTTGCCGAATAAAATATTGCGATATGTTCAGCTCACAAGAATTTTTTGGACACTGCGACGCGGGTTTCGAACCAAGTCGCTTCTTTACTTTTCGAACCATTTCTGCTGATGTTGCTGTTTTCTTCGTCCACTTCCTTTACGTCGGACTACGCTGCCAGTCACCAAACACAGTAAGGAGCGATGGTACGAGACCCAAAAGATGTATTCACATTTAAATGCTGGAGTGCTCTTACGATAGACACTTGTGGTTTTTCCAGCCAAATATAAGGAAATCACACAATCACGTTTGAATTCCATCACGAATAAATTTTTTTCTGCAAAATTCTCACCAAAATGCTTTTGTACGCTTGTAAATACTGGAATAATTTTAAAAACAAAACAAATTATTTTTAAACCCCTAATAAAAGAAGATTTTTAAAAATCTAGTTTAAAATTACCAACCATGGTCTTTTTTCTGGTTGAATATCAGTGGATTTTTTTTAATTTTTAAAAATATATTTTTAAATATGTTTTTAATATTTAGGAATTCAATACTTCTTTTCAATGAGTAATAAATGTTTTTTTTTAATTTATTTTTATTTATTTATTTAATCTATTAGTCTATGGATAATTCCTTACAGACTATATATGTACATAACTAATAATTTTATAATTAAAACCAGTAAAGAAAGTCTTAAAGTCGGACGGGGCCGACTTTATGATACCCTACACCACTTTGCTAATTTAATAGAGCTCCACATAACAATAAAAGTTTTTATGGGAGAATTCAATCATACACGCTATGATTATAATTATAACTTAAAGTTCAAAGGACTTAATATGCCGGAGCATTTGTATCTTTTAAATTCGGAATTGTATTGCCCATTTGGTGCACAATTAATTTGAAATCGGATAAATATATATATGGGAGCTATATCCAAATCTGAACCGATCTCGATAAAATTTGGCAAAGATATTTCTGAGCTGCATTTGATATATTTCCCCAAATATTATTGTTGCAGAGTGCATATTACGGCGGCGGTGGACAAAAGTAACAAATCGGATGAACAATATATATGGGAGCTATAGCTATATCTGAACCGATTTCGATCAAATTTGGCACACTTATTTTCAGACCTAATTTGGGTGTATATGCAAAATTCCATACAATTCGGGCTGATATTACACGTTTGGTGCACAATTAAAGGCAAATCGGACGAAGATATATATGGGAGCCATATCTAAATTTTGACCGATTATTTCCAATTTCAATAGGGTTCGTCCTTGGGCCAAACAAATGATCTGTGCAAAATTTCATCTGGATCGGGCAATAAATGCGACCTGTACTTTGTTTACAAAAATACATGGACAGACGGACAGACGGACAGACGGACGGACAGACGGACGGACAGACGGACGGACGGACATGCATAAATCGACTCAGAATGTGATTCTATGCAGATCATCAAAAGGAACTATGGGTCTATCTCGTTTCCTTCTGCCTGTTACAAACAAATGCACAAAGACATAATACCCTGACCACCTTGTGGTGTAGGGTATAATTAAGAATTTAAAAACATTATTATTTTACTTTTTATAGTATTAATATCCATTGTAAAATCGATAAAATTATAAAACGCGTTAAAATCTTTTGAAATTCTTGTTAA